TATTGAAAACAGCAACTCATGCACTTTCTATAACTACCTTGGCTGCTCTCTACTAAGCTCTGAAAGCAGAGATAAAATTGGGAAAACGAAATCACTTCGAGTTCGGAATTTTTAAGCAAGCCCCTTAAAAAATCTAAATCTGTGCCATAAAATCCAAAACAGCCAGTATCCTAGACTATTTTACCCCCTTTTTCTGGCTGAACAAAGTTCGCGCTGATCTAGCTGTTTTCCGAAAAGTTATGATTTTTGAAAAAAAATGTCAAAAATCAATTTTCTTAAGAAACTGATTTTTTGGCATTTTTCCTGGAAAATCATAACTTCTTTCAAAAAAGCTCGATCAGCGCGAATCTTGCTCAGCTGGAAAGAGGGGATCAAAAAACCTAGGATTCTGCCTGTTTTGGATTTTTCAACAGGCTTGCTTAAAAATTCCGAAATTGAAGTGATTTCCTTTTTCCAATTTTTTCTCTGCATTCATAGCTTAGTGGATAGCAGCCAAGACGCTTCTAGAAAGTATCGTTTATTCGTTGACCGTAACGACTGCTGACCGCGCGGCGACCTCTGCGCGTGCATGATGTTTTCGTAGAAAAGATGAATAGAAAGAAAACAGAGGATTCTTCTCATCTTTATAATGTAGAAAAGAAACAAAGAATTCTTCTCATCTTAAGCCACGGTCCAACTGTCACTTTTTCGCAAGTTTAGAAGGCACGCGTCGCAGTCGCCACGCGGTCGGCAGTCCGTACGGTCAACGAATGAACGATACATGAATTGCTGTTTTTCAATATGGTTTTACTCCTGCAAAAACATTATGTTAGGAAGAAGTTACGATTTTTTGAAAATGGTGGGACAGAACTTTCGGACCAACCTAATATACAGGGTGCGGCAAAAGTCTGGGAGCCTAGTACTTTTTCGTACAAAACGAGAAGGGAAGTACCTAGAAACGAAAAATTTGGCGCACACATAATTCGAACCACTGCAGATACAGTCCAGTTCTTGAATTGCAAAACTGCCTCATTTGGCTTCCACGCATCCCTACAAAATCTTGGCAAGTCTACCTGTCATGTCACGCAAGTAGTCGTATTGGAATTCGCCCCACGCCTTCACAATAACTGCTTCTTTTACCTTGGCAAATGTGCAGCACAATAAAGCTAGCTTTTATCTACAACATGCTTCCAAAAGTATTTTTTGCATTGCTTAGGAATAAAAATATTGGATTTTTTATTAGAAGCATGTGTACGTCGCATACCGGAATTTTGGCTACAATCGCGCGAATAAAAACTTAAAATTATCGTTTAAAAAATATAAAAAGCGTTCCCATGGCCGAATTTCAATAGATTCTAGTTTAGAAGACGTATGCAAAAACTACAGCTTTGGTACCAGTGCCTGATGAGCATTCTATAGCTTTTAAATTTGTTCTGAACACGGATTTCCACTGGCACGCAGGTAACATTCGCAAACTTTTATTTTCCGTTCATGCAAGAACAGCTCCTGGCAAAAGCAAAACTAGAATACAATAGCGCAAAGCCTCTTCTATGTTGTGTGCATCGAAGTTTTGTAAAATATTAACAGCATCTCTAGCTACAGCAAAAATTGCAAATACTAAAAATTCAGGTTTTTTCGCTTTACAAAAGTACTAGTTTTGGTAATTTCCATTCCTACAAAAACATATGGAAGCCATTTCCAGCCAAATAAAGTGTATTTTGTAGAGGATGAACGCAGCATCATGTGGCATAAAATTTAAATCAAAATCATCAGTACCTTTGTAATTGCAGTACTGCAAAGTTAGGCTCCCAAACTTTTGCTGCACCCTGTATAAAACTCAAAAATTTAACTTAATTTTAATTTTAAAACTTTAAAACGCAAACTCAAAACTCAAAAACTTAAGCCCTCCAAACTGGCAATTTTTGAGTTTTATATATATATATATATATACAGGGTGTCCCAAAATAATGTGCACACTGTTTGATTTTGAATAACTCTCTTATTACGAGGTCTTTCGAGAAGCGGTAAGCGCCATTTTGTAGAGCTGGCCTCAACTTAGATTTGCAGTATAGAGCGAATCAGCGACCGCTCTTCGTTACTGTAGGATTACGGTAGAAACTTGAAAGAGGGTTTTGTGCCATGAAAGGCCATATTTTGCCTCAGAAAGGAATCAAAACAGCCTAAGCCTTTTACACTAAGCCAATTAGAGTTGCTGATTCTAACTGTAAAGTTCCCAACTTATTATAATGCTTCCTGAGGAGTTATGCGAGGCAAGCAGTAGCGGCCATTTTCTCAATGTTCCTAAAAAGTGCGGATACACCGTTTAGAAAGCTTCACAATCTTGAAAATAGTTCAGTGTTGAACTCAGCGCCCCTGAAAACCCTATCACACAAGTTTTCACATCTTTCTGAAAATTTCTGAAACGGCAGCTTTTCCCACAATCACACCATATGTTCCAAGTTTCTACCGTAATCCTACAGTAATGAAGAGCGATCGGTGGTTCGCTCTATACTGTAAATCTAAGTTCAAGCCAGCTCTACAAAATCGCGCTTATTGCTCCTCGAAAGACCTCATAATAAGAGAGTTATTCAAAATCAAACACTGTGCACATTATTTTGGGACACCCTGTATATATATATATATATATATATATATATATATATATATATATATATATATATATATATATATATATACTACTATGCAGAGCTTGTCAAGAACTACACACTGGTTATGGTTGCTTCCCCAAAGAACGCAAGCTTGAGTTTTATTTTAGTTTTTTTAAAAAACAACTTCTAATTTCCTTTATCAAGCCAAATTTCTTCACACGGAAACCTGTTCAAGACATCCCAACAAAGCCGTCTGGATAAAATAGATGCTCTTTGCCATCCTCTATGCATCGGACGTGTGCTGATGAGTTTCTTGGCTGAAAATGGCCCTTGGCATGCTTGCACATGACCCCACCTGCACCTCACCACTGACTTGTACTGCTTTGCAGGCTTGTAACTCGGCCTGCAGTCAATATTTGAGCCTGCAATTAGGCTCATTCGAAAGCACGAGACTTGCTCTACATGAAGGTATGCAAGTGAGTTGAGTCTGAGAACTTTCAGAGATTTGGCGGATGGGGTGGTAGAGGGCAGCCTTAGAGGTGATTGGAGTGAAAGCTCTTATGAACACCAGAGCAGCCTTAGAGCTTCGAAATGGATCTACTACAAGAAAATTGACAGTTTTGAACTTCCAGGATAAAATTGGTAGCGAAAGGAGCTCTCTTCAACTTTAGCTGAAAAGTGCTTAGACTACAACTGAAGCTGCCCTCTACCACCCCATCCGCCAAATCTCTGAAAGTTCTCAGACTCAACTCATTTGCATACCATCATGTAGAGCAAGTCTCGTGCTTTCGAATGAGCCTAATTGCAGGCTCAAATATTGACTGCAGGCCGAGTTACAAGCCTGCAAAGCAGTACAAGTCAGTGGTGAGGTGCAGGTGGGGTCATGTGCAAGCATGCCAAGGGCCATTTTCAGCCAAGAAACTCATCAGCACACGTCCGATGCATAGAGGATGGCAAAGAGCATCTATTTTATCCAGACGGCTTTGTTGGGATGTCTTGAACAGGTTTCCGTGTGAAGAAATTTGGCTTGATAAAGGAAATTAGAAGTTGTTTTTTGAAAAAAAGTAAAATAAAACTCAAGCTTGCGTTTTCTGGGGAAGCAACCATAACCAGTGTGTAGTTCTTGACGAGCTCTGTATAGTAGTGTGTTTACCCGTCCGGATAACTTGTGTTTCCGCTTTAAAATAGGACTCAAAAGAAAATTTTTGCGTTCGAAGAATTATTGTCCGCGACATTGTGACGCGGCCATTTTCGGACTTTTTTTAGAAAAAGATTCTTAAAATTTTTAGAACACATGTTTCTCGAAAAACTCAAAGTGTAGATTGTCGATCTTGAAGAGCTCTATCACGTCATGCAATCACTACATTTTTTCATCCTTGTTTTCACTCTGAAAAAGAGCGATGAAAAAGGGAGAGGGGTTTGTCCGCAACTTTTTGGCGGTCACTGTATATATATATATATATATATATATATATATATATATATATATATATATATATAGATATAGATATATAGATATAAAACTTGATTTAACCGCAGTGCTTCGTTAATAGGTTATGCCAAGTAGACCGTGTTTTTACAACCTTCATAAAATTGTGATTACACCATTTGAAAAGCTTTAAAAACTCATAAAAAGTTGAACAATGAAATTAGTGCCCATGAATCCCTGGTACACAATTTATTAGATTAGTCGAAAAAATTTGAAATGCTGGAAGCTAAAAGTTTCTACTGTAATCCTCGTAATGAAAAATATTGGTGACTCGCTTCCATGCTGTAATTCATTTTAAGCCAGCTCTACAATATGGTCTTTGAAGAAAAGTGAGCTTTTCATACAAGAGAGTTATCACAGATCAAGTCCATCAGTCCAAGTCTAGTTACATCATATTGGGACCCTGTACAATACTTTAACATCGTTCAGTGCATCTTAGATTGGTTTATGCTTTCCAATAGATGACATCGAGATACTTTACATACTTCATAAAATATTTCTAAATCTTGTCGCTCTAAATGAGGAAAGTGGGATGGATCAAATACGTAGAGAAGAATATGAGAGTTAATTTCCAAGCTTCGCACCTTATCCAACGATGCAATGTCACCAAGAGTTTCGCCATCAAAGACCACTTGCGGAGACTGGGATTTTGTAAAATCTATGGCAAAATATGGTAATCAGATTTGGGAGTGGTCAGAACCAAATAAACGAACTTCCAGAAAGATTCCGCAGCTCATATGTAGGGATCGGCATTGAAACAGTGATAAGCAAAAAAACAGGTTGCAGACAAATAATCTCGCTTTATCTCGCATCACATCTTATAGCTAAAGAGTGTTTTGCGTCATCGCATCGAACTCTTTGCGCCGAACGATCCTCGCTAACATGGCTATTCGGTATCAGAGCGGACGCGAAAGGTATAAAAGATGCCAGCTCCCAGGAAGAAGCAGACCATGACTGTGAAGCATTGGGAAACTGAAGCACTCTCCCTCAGGAGACTCGCCTTCTTCGGAGTGGCCATTTCCACCGCTGCCGCTCTCATCTGCATCATCTCGGTGCCAATGCTCTACAATTACATGCAGCACGTCCAATCGGTCATGCAGAACGAAATCGACTTCTGCAAATCCCGTTCGGGAAACATCTGGAGAGAAGTGACTCGCACTCAGGCAAGTTTGGCACCAGCCCTCTTTCACAAAGCCTCAAAAAGCTCTGCTTTTCAGGTTCTCAATAAAGAACTAACCAGAAACCGTCGTCAGGCCGGTGGTGGATGCTGCGGATGCGGTGTATCTCCAGCTGGACCACCTGGACCACCTGGTCCAGATGGAGAGGCCGGAGGTGATGGAGAACCAGGACGGCCAGGAAATGATGGCCCTGATGGACCACCAGCCACACCAGCTCCACCCGTCAACCCTTGTTACAACTGTCCCCCTGGCCCACCAGGACCCCCAGGAAACCCAGGAGGCCAAGGACAGCCAGGAAACCCAGGATCAGACGGACAACCAGGAAACCCCGGAAACCCAGGAGGAGCTGGACAGCCTGGACCACCAGGACCACCCGGAAACAACGGAGCACCAGGAAATCCAGGAGCACCTGGATCGCCTGGAACTCTCAACACCGTACCCGGACCCCAAGGACCACCCGGACCACCTGGGCCACAAGGACCTCCCGGACCCGACGGAAACCCTGGAGGCCCAGGAAACAATGGTAACGATGGACCACCAGGACCTCCTGGAGACAACGGAAACCCAGGAGCACCTGGACAACCTGGTGATAACGGATCCCACGGAGATGATGGAGAAAATGGAGGACCAGGAGGTTGCGATCACTGCCCCCCACCTCGCACTGCTCCAGGATATTAGACATAGCTTTCTGCAACTTACATTGCAAACTTGTGTTTTCGTATCAGGACCTAGTAAAGCAGTTTTTCTTACTTCTTTCACCATACGTAGAAGAGTCAGCATGGCTTGAAAAAGCCAACACAATACAGCATTCCAATCAATCGATTTCAGTAAAACATCGCTCAATAACAAACAAGTGTTTCTGTCCTGCTTAAAAGTAATTCAGAAAATTTGTGAATCACATTTTTAGCTCGCGATAAGAAAAGTTAGTTGGCGGTTATGATGTGTGATCCATTTGATAATAAAAAATATGATTCAAGATTTCTGGAAGACAAGGCAAAGGCTTGAGCATTGTCTTGATCACAATGTAAAAAACATGCTGTAAGTCAGTGTGCCACTTTTGACGACTTTGCCCTCAAGTGAGACAGTCATTTTCGTAATGAACACCAATATCTAAGTTCTTTTGATGATTATGAAAGCGTACCTATAAAATCTTGAATTCGTTGCGATGTCTCGTTTAACGTTGACGTGAATTCAGGTGGACAGAAGAGGACAAGTTGAGAACAGAGAAGGACAAATTGACGTAAGGGCGAAAAACTATTTTTCAAAGCGTTATTGTCTACCAAATCTGAAAATGTGGAGATAAAGAAAAAATTTTAAGAAAATTTAAGCGAAAGTTATGACGAGGTACAAGAATGTTGACCAGATGTTAAATCAATGATCAAGCCATAAAAAGCCTGAGTTCAAATTTTTTTAGTATTTGAAAACATCTGTATCTGTTAACAGCTTCAGCCAATTTAGCTGCTTATCTCATCACTCCGATGCGAGGCCTTAAACTTCCCAAAATTGTGCACAAACTTATGAAGGCAAGTTTTATTTGTGTATTAGGACTGAACACAATTATTTATGTCAGAAAAACAGCCCAAGAGCGGTGCTTAATATCCTGGAGCAGTGCGTGGTGGAGGGCAGTGTTCGCAACCTCCTGGGGCTCCATCATCTCCATCATCTCCATTGGCACCGTTGTCACCAGGTTGTCCAGGTGCTCCTGGATTTCCATTGTCTCCAGGAGGTCCTGGTGGTCCATCGTTGCCATTGTCTCCTGGGCCTCCAGGGTTTCCATCAGGTCCGGGAGGTCCTTGTGGTCCGGGTGGTCCAGGTGGTCCTTGGGGTCCGGGTACGGTGTTGAGAGTTCCGGGCGATCCAGGTGCTCCTGGGTTACCTGGTGCTCCGTTGTTTCCAGGTGGTCCTGGCATTCCGGGTTGTCCTGCTCTTCCTGGCATTCCTGGACTTCCCGGCATTCCCATTGGTCCTGGGCTTCCTGGCATTCCTGGTCCTCCTGGATTTCCTGGAGGTCCTGGTGGGCCGGCGGGGCAGTTATAGCAAGGATTGGCCGGTGGAGCTGGAGTCGCAGGTGGTCCATCAGGTCCATCTCTTCCTGGCATTCCTGGCTGCCCATCACCTCCAGGCATTCCATCTGGTCCAGGAGGACCAGGTGGTCCAGAGGGAGATACACCACAACCGCAGCATCCACCACGAGTTTGACGACGGTTTCTGGTTAGTTCTTTATTGAGAACCTGAAAAGCAGAGCTTTTTGAGGCTTTGTGAAAGAGGGCTGGTGCCAAACTTGCCTGAGTGCGAGTCACTTCTCTCCAGATGTTTCCCGAACGGGATTTGCAGAAGTCGATTTCGTTCTGCATGACCGATTGGACGTGCTGCATGTAATTGTAGAGCATTGGCACCGAGATGATGCAGATGAGAGCGGCAGCGGTGGAAATGGCCACTCCGAAGAAGGCGAGTCTCCTGAGGGAGAGTGCTTCAGTTTCCCAATGCTTCACAGTCATGGTCTGCTTCTTCCTGGGAGCTGGCATCTTTTATACCTTTCGCGTCCGCTCTGATACCGAATAGCCATGTTAGCGAGGATCGTTCGGCGCAAAGAGTTCGATGCGATGACGCAAAACACTCTTTAGCTATAAGATGTGATGCGAGATAAAGCGAGATTATTTGTCTGCAACCTGTTTTTTTGCTTATCACTGTTTCAATGCCGATCCCTACATATGAGCTGCGGAATCTTTCTGGAAGTTCGTTTATTTGGTTCTGACCACTCCCAAATCTGATTACCATATTTTGCCATAGATTTTACAAAATCCCAGTCTCCGCAAGTGGTCTTTGATGGCGAAACTCTTGGTGACATTGCATCGTTGGATAAGGTGCGAAGCTTGGAAATTAACTCTCATATTCTTCTCTACGTATTTGATCCATCCCACTTTCCTCATTTAGAGCGACAAGATTTAGAAATATTTTATGAAGTATGTAAAGTATCTCGATGTCATCTATTGGAAAGCATAAACCAATCTAAGATGCACTGAACGATGTTAAAGTATTGTACAGGGTCCCAATATGATGTAACTAGACTTGGACTGATGGACTTGATCTGTGATAACTCTCTTGTATGAAAAGCTCACTTTTCTTCAAAGACCATATTGTAGAGCTGGCTTAAAATGAATTACAGCATGGAAGCGAGTCACCAATATTTTTCATTACGAGGATTACAGTAGAAACTTTTAGCTTCCAGCATTTCAAATTTTTTCGACTAATCTAATAAATTGTGTACCAGGGATTCATGGGCACTAATTTCATTGTTCAACTTTTTATGAGTTTTTAAAGCTTTTCAAATGGTGTAATCACAATTTTATGAAGGTTGTAAAAACACGGTCTACTTGGCATAACCTATTAACGAAGCACTGCGGTTAAATCAAGTTTTATATCTATATATCTATATCTATATATATATATATATATATATATATATATATATATATATATATATATATATACAGTGACCGCCAAAAAGTTGCGGACAAACCCCTCTCCCTTTTTCATCGCTCTTTTTCAGAGTGAAAACAAGGATGAAAAAATGTAGTGATTGCATGACGTGATAGAGCTCTTCAAGATCGACAATCTACACTTTGAGTTTTTCGAGAAACATGTGTTCTAAAAATTTTAAGAATCTTTTTCTAAAAAAAGTCCGAAAATGGCCGCGTCACAATGTCGCGGACAATAATTCTTCGAACGCAAAAATTTTCTTTTGAGTCCTATTTTAAAGCGGAAACACAAGTTATCCGGACGGGTAAACACACTACTATACAGAGCTCGTCAAGAACTACACACTGGTTATGGTTGCTTCCCCAGAAAACGCAAGCTTGAGTTTTATTTTACTTTTTTTCAAAAAACAACTTCTAATTTCCTTTATCAAGCCAAATTTCTTCACACGGAAACCTGTTCAAGACATCCCAACAAAGCCGTCTGGATAAAATAGATGCTCTTTGCCATCCTCTATGCATCGGACGTGTGCTGATGAGTTTCTTGGCTGAAAATGGCCCTTGGCATGCTTGCACATGACCCCACCTGCACCTCACCACTGACTTGTACTGCTTTGCAGGCTTGTAACTCGGCCTGCAGTCAATATTTGAGCCTGCAATTAGGCTCATTCGAAAGCACGAGACTTGCTCTACATGATGGTATGCAAATGAGTTGAGTCTGAGAACTTTCAGAGATTTGGCGGATGGGGTGGTAGAGGGCAGCTTCAGTTGTAGTCTAAGCACTTTTCAGCTAAAGTTGAAGAGAGCTCCTTTCGCTACCAATTTTATCCTGGAAGTTCAAAACTGTCAATTTCTTGTAGTAGATCCATTTCGAAGCTCTAAGGCTGCTCTGGTGTTCATAAGAGCTTTCACTCCAATCACCTCTAAGGCTGCCCTCTACCACCCCATCCGCCAAATCTCTGAAAGTTCTCAGACTCAACTCACTTGCATACCTTCATGTAGAGCAAGTCTCGTGCTTTCGAATGAGCCTAATTGCAGGCTCAAATATTGACTGCAGGCCGAGTTACAAGCCTGCAAAGCAGTACAAGTCAGTGGTGAGGTGCAGGTGGGGTCATGTGCAAGCATGCCAAGGGCCATTTTCAGCCAAGAAACTCATCAGCACACGTCCGATGCATAGAGGATGGCAAAGAGCATCTATTTTATCCAGACGGCTTTGTTGGGATGTCTTGAACAGGTTTCCGTGTGAAGAAATTTGGCTTGATAAAGGAAATTAGAAGTTGTTTTTTAAAAAAACTAAAATAAAACTCAAGCTTGCGTTCTTTGGGGAAGCAACCATAACCAGTGTGTAGTTCTTGACAAGCTCTGCATAGTAGTATATATATATATATATATATATATATATATATATATATATATATATATATATATATATATATATACAGGGTGTCCCAAAATAATGTGCACAGTGTTTGATTTTGAATAACTCTCTTATTATGAGGTCTTTCGAGGAGCAATAAGCGCGATTTTGTAGAGCTGGCTTGAACTTAGATTTACAGTATAGAGCGAACCACCGATCGCTCTTCATTACTGTAGGATTACGGTAGAAACTTGGAACATATGGTGTGATTGTGGGAAAAGCTGCCGTTTCAGAAATTTTCAGAAAGATGTGAAAACTTGTGTGATAGGGTTTTCAGGGGCGCTGAGTTCAACACTGAACTATTTTCAAGATTGTGAAGCTTTCTAAACGGTGTATCCGCACTTTTTAGGAACATTGAGAAAATGGCCGCTACTGCTTGCCTCGCATAACTCCTCAGGAAGCATTATAATAAGTTGGGAACTTTACAGTTAGAATCAGCAACTCTAATTGGCTTAGTGTAAAAGGCTTAGGCTGTTTTGATTCCTTTCTGAGGCAAAATATGGCCTTTCATGGCACAAAACCCTCTTTCAAGTTTCTACCGTAATCCTACAGTAACGAAGAGCGGTCGCTGATTCGCTCTATACTGCAAATCTAAGTTGAGGCCAGCTCTACAAAATGGCGCTTACCGCTTCTCGAAAGACCTCGTAATAAGAGAGTTATTCAAAATCAAACAGTGTGCACATTATTTTGGGACACCCTGTATATATATATATATATATAAAACTCAAAAATTGCCAGTTTGGAGGGCTTAAGTTTTTGAGTTTTGAGTTTGCGTTTTAAAGTTT